ACAAATGGGCTGCTGCTGCTGCTGGGTGGGCACTGGCAGCTGCTGCAGCCAAAGCCCCTGTAGCTGCTGCCTGACTTAGGCCTAAACCTAATGTATTGAGATTATATCCATAGCTGGCTAACGTATTAAGTGCAGAGGTGATGGCCACCAGGTCATTGCCTGTAAAGCCAGATAAAACTGCTGGAAAGGCTGCCACTCCAGCAAGGTTAGCATGTCCTAATAGCCCTGCAGCAGCTGCAGCAGTTGGTAACACTTCAGCAGTGTTTGCATAAGGAGATCCGGTTGGATTGGAATTGGCCACTGGACCTGTGACATTGGCATAACTGATATTGAGACAGCTGCCACTCTGTGGATCCTCTTGTATCTTCTGGATGATAAGTTCAACAGCTTTTCGGTTTTGTTCAGGTTCTCCACTCACAGTGACAACCCTCTCTTGCAAGTTGATCCCATCAGGTTTCTGGGAAAGCTGCACCCAAGCCCCTGACTGCTCCATTATAGCCTTCACTGTAGCACCTCCCTTCCCTATTATCAGACCTGCTGTGCTGTTGGGAACTATAATCTTTACCTGTAATTAAAAAAAATATATATAAATAATACTTCTGCTTTGTGCATAAACTCTATAATATTTTGCTACCCTATAAAAGGAAGGAAAAGAATGAAGCAAGTTAGTTACCATGTTTTTAAAAGAAAAGGTTAAAAGAAAAATTAAAAAGAAATACAGCTCATCACGCTTTTTAATGCTCTGCATCTGTTTCAAATGTACAATACAAAGAATTAAAGAGAAAATAACAGGAAAATCGTATTTATCATTCTCCCACAGAATACACTGCTTTCAGCATAGCACATTTCGGACCAGAAGATTAAGCAAATGCAGGTATTATGCTCATATGGAAAGATTGTCTTAGATTGTATCAGAGTGAGTGTTTTCATCCGATTCCTCTCTTCCCAGGCTAATGTAGCAAACCAACTCTTACACAAAATGTGTCTGAATTCTTTACCTTCCCTTAAAACATCTATAATAACAATAATTAAAAAAAACCACTTGGCTAAAGCAAATACGGAACAGCATGGACAGATAAAATAGTTGGTCTTGAACAGGACATGATCTTGATTGTTCAAGCTGTCACCCACATCAGTATACAGAAATTCATTATGTGCTACAGTGTATTATTATTCAGCCTGTGAAAATGAAGTGTGGCAGGAGAGAGTATCTAAATGATGAAGATTTTGAAAGAATAAAATATGGCATTTGTACATCTTAAAAAGTTTATCAAAATGTCTTCAAACGAAGGGTATTTGCCTATAAATGCTACCTTTCCTCCTGTTTAAACAAGTTTCAAACTGATACAACCTCACTAATGTCAACAAATTTATTCCTTATTGACTTACTGCTGAGTGAAAAATGACACCCAAGATAAAAATTCAGTATTTACACATATTTTTTGTAGCTTTTGTTTACGATATACATTTTACAAATGTGTCTCAAAGTTTTAATGTACCATCTGTTTCATGATATTGAATTAATATGATGTTTTATCTTACAAAAATACATTTTTAGTAGCCTACTGATATCCATTCATCCAGGTTTTGTGGAGCATATATGTAGGGATAACACTTTTCAATTTGTCAATCCTTTCACCAAAATGCTATCTAAAATCTCAGCAACAAGTCAATACAAAATACAATTAAAATTTTATTAGCAACATTCTCATGTTACTGCCTCATTATAAAGTCAAGCTTATTATAAAGTCAACCTAATTACAAATAAAAATACATGCCCTATAAATAAGCTTTTTCTAGTCTTACCCATTTTAGATATTTCCAGTTATGATAGCATCGAAATCAAATCTTTGAAAATCCAGCATACTATAAAGTTAAGAAACATTTATATTTTCCACTTATACAATATGTACATTAAAAACTGTAACATACCATATTGTATTTTGCACTGAATTGTTTTACAGCGTATATAGAATTTTTAACTTCTTTAGAATTTCAAGTTCACTGACATCAAAACAAAAGATGTTCTATGGAATAAATAAAAAATTATTAGGTGCTGACTTATTCTAAAGGTAACATAAAAGTATAGTATTGAAAAAACATTTAGCCCACCTATATACTAAATAATTCTATAAAACCACAAACATCTCAATATGTGTTTATACATATTTGCATATACACACACACACACACTGAAATGTTCTTTATATATACTTATAGACACACTCATTTTTAAGTCAGGACACCTCATAGTCACTTTAAAATGTAGTTCAAACTATCTGGCAATTTTGAGGTGCCCTTTTTTAGTTTTCCTATCAGAAAAAGAAGGAAACCATTCTTAGATTTGATTTGGTATTTGAGATCTAGATACAAAATGTATTAACTAATTGCTAAATATATGTTCAGATATTTTGTTAATTATATATATTTAAGTGGTTTTTTTTAGTTTGCTTGGTTGTTTTTTGTGTTGTTTTTTTTTTTTTTTTAATTAACCCTGCAAAAATGCAAAGTTGTATAACAACAAAAGTCACCCAAGAAAACTCAATAAAACTGCAAATCTTTTATTGCATAGCACAGCTTTCAGATTAGTATGTGGCACAAATAAAAATAGCCTTTTCTAAATACCTGTTTTAGAAACATCAGGTTGTCTGTTTTAACTGTCAACTCTCTCAAATTGTTTCAGTATAGGAATATACCACTAATAACCTTTCAAATACAACCCCTGCCAGGGTGAATATTTCACCTATTAACATACAGGATATCTTTTAAAAATATACATGTATTAAAAAATTAGACAATATGCACAACCTATTTGACACTAAGATGTCACAGAAAACATTATATTCCAATCAAAATTCAGTTTTAACAGAACATAAACACATCTGTATGCATTTTGCTTAAAACATAAGTAAAATCCTGCTCTTCCTGAAATGAATGGCAACATTTGCATTATTTTGAGATATTCAATTATAACATTACTGTATTTGTGACAACTGATTGAAAATGTTATTTAAAAACAGAGATAATTACTTTAAAAAGCAAAACAGATTTAGGAAATTTTTTTATTTAGGTCATATTAATTTGTAATTCTCCATCTGTTTCCTGCATTCAGTTGATTTTCCCTCATTTCTATATTGGAATATCAACTCTTTACGGCAAACATTAGTATTTGGGGTTTTTGGTTTGGTTTGGTTTTGTTCTGGTTTTTTGTTTTGTTTTGTTGGGGTTTTTTTTTTGTAATTTTTTTTGTTTTGTGTTTGGTTTTTTTTCTTTTTTTTTTTTTTTTTGTTGAAGCCTAAAATCCATAAGGTCACTAAGTTACAAGGTATAAAATGATACAACAAAATTCTTGGTCTCAACTCTGGTTATACAAACAGAAATTGAAAAACTGAAGATTATCTATTTGGTTTTGTTACCTGCACCATCACCATTTTTAAAAGTACTTAACTCCTGTCTGTCAGGGAAATTGGACAGTGCTCTTACTTCCCTTTTACAGATAAGTTCAGAAAGCGATTTGGATGCAGAAGTGAGAAACTTAACTACCACCCAAAATAAGCGCTCCGAGCTATCCAATAAAGGTATCTTTGACTATGCAGGAAGGTTATGTTTCCAGGTTTGTGTGTATGCTCCTGGCTATATTGAAATTTGTGCTGCAAAAAGGAGAGTATCTAAAGCAATTATGAAGATAAGCTTAAAACACATATGCAATTTCATTTTTTTCAAATGCTACAGGACGTAAAAAATGGAAGGAACTCAACCTTTATTTCATACCAAATAGATTTTATAAAAAATAAGGATTGCGATTATGACATTTGCTTACTCACAAAGCAAATTAATTACTTCCACAGGCATCACTCTCATCCTATTTGTGTTAGCATAAGCAAGTTCAAAATCAGGCTCAGAGAGTATAATACTTCTCCCCTGAAAAGGAATCAAACTATAACAGAAATAAAAGAAACAGAGTAATTTCACTGCATATGTTTTCACTAATACATTATTATGTCCTTAAAAGCCTTGACAAAGGTGTAACGGTCCAAGAAACTGTGGCACTTAAGAAGGGCTCCAACCAGAGAGCAGTTTGTTGCCCTCAGTTCCCAACAAAGTCGGCAGAGATTTGATGAAACTCTGCACTTCAGAGGAGGATGCTTGGTACTTGAGAGATCTCAGCCATTATGTCCACAGGACACAGTTCAAATTGCTTTAACTTAGCATTAGTGGCTCATATTCACCCCTGCATGCTGCAAAATCCTAGACTCTTAAACTCTGTATCAGCTAATTCCCTAATCCTTTTCCATTTATTGACAACCCACTTTCATAACCCCAAGCTGCACTCACCTATCACATCAGCATCACCTACAAGTCCTCTGATTTACCAAACTGAAAGTCCTGGCTCAGTTCTCAGAGCTGAATAGCATTTACTGTGGAATGCCAGATGTTTGGTGATTATGCTACGCCACTTCTCATCCCCTCCCTTATGCTGCAAGGAGATAATCTGCACTGAGCAGCTATAAGTGTACATCAACACATGCAAAAAATCTGCATGGGAAGCAGAACCATGCCCAAACCTGCACTGCTACCCACACTAACACCTTATGTCTTGTCTCCCCAATCCTCATCCCCACTCCTCTCGTCTAAACACCTTCAACTACCTATAGCTAGGTTCCCAACCCTTTCACTTTTCTATTACCTTATTTCCTCGTCCTCCTTCTCTCTGATGACATTTGCTCTGGTTATATTCTCAGTTCTCACAGCCTTTGGAGGTGGTGGGGTATGGCAATCACAAACTAGCACCTCACGTGCGACCCAGCTAATACATAGTATTTACCTGGGAAAAGTAGTGGAAGGATGAAATACATGCTGACTGGCTAGATAGCAAAAATTAGCACTTGATGTGGCTATTATGCCAATTAGAGCAACAGCAGGTAAGGGGGCCAAAAAACATGGCTTTAAGTTTAAAGCTTCACATGGTTGTGTGAAACATGCCCGCACTAAATTACACCAGAAAAGAAAAAGTCTCACTGATTATACAAAATAGCATCAAAACTTGGAAAAACCAAAAGCAACAATTCGGCAGTAGAAGCATTTAATTGCATCATCCCCTGCTTATTCCACCTCATAGAATTGTTTCTGAAGAGACTACACAAAGATTAATGAACCAAGGAGATTTTTATCTGTAATTCAGCTTTCCTTTTTCCTCTTTTATTTTCACAAGTTTAATTATAACTTATGCCATGAATTTTCTGTAATAGTTGTTCTTTTTTGCTTTTATTAAATCTTTCAACTATTTGTGTAACGTTATTTTACCTTCTCCTAACAGAGAAACATCTTTACAAAAAAGGTTCCCTTAAAAATGTATTTAAATTACTATATTCCATTTTACCTTTTTTTCTGTCTTCATTGCTCATCAATTACTTCAAACTCTTTAAAACTCCATCTGGGCTCTGGCTACTATACCTATGAAAATTTCATGCTATTTTAGCTGCTCATTTGACTATAGGCTTGGAGTTGATGAGAGGGTATTCTGAAAGCACAAGTTCCTGTAGAGAGCAATCAATGAAGAGTA